CTATGTGCATCTCACCCCCCTGTACAATATTTACCCAAAAGAGTGTCATCTGCCTGTCAAGTTTAGGACTTTCCGTAGCACCTATCACCATACTATCCAAGTACTCTGGTTGTGTGGACATGAATTTAGGGGATATCTAGGTATTGCTATTTGTAAAATAGCTGCTTTATGGCCTGTGTACTCAGTGAGCAGTTGCAATGAATTTCAGATGCTCTCGGGGTGGTTGTCACATATACTTGCAAACCAACAGCCCTGGAAAACCTTGGCCTCAAATCTAACAGTCACTGACCTATTGATCATGGGGGTGTTACAGGTGAAGATGTGGATGGCAATCCCATTGCGTGACTTGGGTTCCCCAGCTCCACACAATGTGTGCAACCCCTAGGAGACAAACACAGAAAGTTAGAAAGAGCAGCAAGCAGGAGGGTTGAGGCAAGAGCCCTTCATCTCCTCTGATGGGGCTCATCCCACTGGCTGGGCTCCTTCCTTCCTCACAGATCCCACCTCAGCAGGCTGGGCTCCCCGACTCTGCATGACTGCTGTTTGCTTGTGTTTAAAATGACCCTGATCTTTGGAGACCACTTCAAACTGGACACGCGACAGAGTGGCAGACCACTGGCTGACAGCTTCTCCAAAGCCCAGTGAAGTGAGGGCTTTGACAGATGGCACAGACCCAGCCCAACAGACACTCGCGGGCAGTGGGAAGGGGTGTGTGCGCCCTCCTCGCCGCGTTTGCCAGGGAGCTTCCCTGTCTCCCCTAAAGGAGCAGTGAAACTCTGGCTTGGTAAGTCAGGCATCATACCCAGGCTGACCAGGGAAGTCTGGGCTCTGAGTGGCCTTGCCGATTTCAGCTAGGGAGTTATGACTGCAAAAAGTCTTCTAACTATTCATTACCAGAATCCTATATAAGGGTATGTCTACACTACCCCGCTAGTTCGAACTAGCAGGGTAATGTAGGCATACCGCAATTGCAAATGAAGCCCGGGATTTGAATTTCCCGGGCTTCATTTGCATAAGCCGGCTGGCGCCATTTTTAAATGCCGGCTTGTTCGAACCCTGTGCCGCGCGGCTACACGCGGCACGGGGTTCGAACAAGCCGGCATTTAAAAATGGCGCCGGCCGGCTTATGCAAATGAAGCCCGGGAAATTCAAATCCCGGGCTTCATTTGCAAGTGCGGTATGCCTACATTACCACCCTAGTTCGAACTAGGGTGGTAGTGTAGACATACCCTAAGAGACTTGGCTGCTTTTCACCCAGACTGGATATTGCCAGTGCACAATCTAGCAGTCAGAGCAGGACTCCTGGGTTCTATTGCTAGCTCTGCCGTTGACTCTCTGTGTGATCTTGGGCAAGTCAGTGTATCACTCTGTGCCTCAGTTTCCCTCTCTGTAAACTGCACAGTACTGCTCTCAGCTCTACTAAACCCTACAAAGAGGGGTAATGCCTGGGAGGCTCCAGCCACTTGACTTACGCTCACGAAGTCCAGTTTTTTTTCAGAAGCTTTCGGGATCACAAAAGGCTTCCATCTCAACTAGAATGAAGCAAATACAAAGTGAGGAAGGAAACGTCAGCCATTATCATATGAACAATGCCAGCTAAAAAGAATGGAAAGTCTTCCATGCCCTCATCCCGCCCTCTGGTGGGTATTTTGGGAGTTTTCTTGCAAGCCAGTTTTAATGCCAAGCTTGAAATTCCTATTTAAGAACTGTCCTTCCCTGTGTTACTAACAGCACCTGACAGGCAAAGAATTTCAAATTAACCTACTTGTCACCCCGATCCTATGATTTGCATTTTATACTTGCTCAGCATGTGGCCATTCACTTACTGCGTGACCCTGGGCTACTCACTTCCCTTCTCCGTGCCTCAGTTTCCCCCACCTGACAGACAGGGGGGCTGTGGGTTAAGGGCTGCTGCTGGTAAATCCCTTGGAATTGCTCAGAGAGAAGGTGCTTGAGAAGTATGTATTATTTGGAATGGCAAAGTCAGTTTTGCTCACTGGCCCCAACAGTGATCCCAGTGACACTGAAGGTATGTCCACATTTGAGCTGAGCAGTGTGATTCCTGGCTTGCAGAGAGGTACCTGAGCTAGCTCTGCTCGAATTAGTACAATAAAAACAGTGGTGTAGCAGAGGTGGTGGCACAGGGTAGCCATCCCACCACATCCCTGCTGAGATCCTTGGACTTATTCTCCAGCTTTACTCCAGTGTAAGTGTACTGGTTTTAATGGAGTTACTCCTGATTAACACAGGTGGATTGGAAGGCAGCATCAGGCTCTCTGCTGAGTTATTTTTAAATCATGAAACATTTTGTAACGTTTAAAAAAAACCCAAAATCTAAATGTTGAGCCTAAATGACTTGTCAGAGTCTCCTTGAAGATTAACCTTAGAAGGAAAGGAAAGCGGCGGTGTGCTGGGCCATGCCAGATGCACCTGGGAGTGAAAGAGTACAGGAGTTCATCACTTATTAATCAGCTGCACAGCAGGCTTGGCACTGCTACTGGCAGATAATTGCTCTGTTCTCTGAAGCCATCTGCTTCCAAAGAAGTCCTGCAGTTCAAGCCCTGGCACAGGCAGCCCTCTCTGGTCAGCCAGGCAGCTTTTGCTCTGGCAGAATCTCCTACTGCATACAAGGAAGTACGCCGAGTATGTCTTTCTGTGACAACAGGATATTGTGGTTTTTTTAAATGTAAGAGTATGGATCAAGACAGTATAAATGAAAAAGATCTGAGTTGAAGGATTAAAACTTGCCTTTACGTGTACTAAGTAAGGGTACGTCTACACTAGCTCATTAGTTCGAGCTAGGTAGGGTAATTAGGGCAAGCGGAGTTGCAAATGAAGCCCAGGATTTAAATATCCCGGGCTTCATTTGCATGTTCCCGGGCCCCGCCATTTTTAAATCCCCCTTAGTCTGAACTCCGTGCCCGCGGCTACACGTGGCATGGAGTAGGTAGTTCGAATTAAAGATCCTAATTCTAACTACCGTTACTCCAGCCCCCCTATAACCCATGGCCCCCCAACTGATTTTTCTGTGGGTCAGCAGTCCCCATCCTAAAAAGGGTTCCCCACCCCTGGTCTAGTGGTTAAAGCAGTGCTCAAAGTTAGAAGATCCAGGTTCACTGGCTGCCTGTGTGACATTAAGCAACTCACTACCTTGCTCTGCGCCTTTGTTCCAATGTCCATGAAATGAGGATGAGAATGACCTATTTTACAGAAGGAGTGGGGCTTATTTCATTATCACTGTGAGATAAAGGGACGGAAGAGGATGGAGCAGAATAAGGGGTTATCTATTAGTGGTAAATGTCATAATAAAAATAGATATGATGCACAAGTAAGGGCAGAGTGAGTTACCAGACAAGAGATCAACACAGGATGCAACAGCTGACAGAGAGCTGGGAGCTATGAATGATACAATAGCCCAGACCATTGGATACAATACTCTTCCTTGGGAGCATCTGGATGAACTTACAGATGGTTTGTTGCCATACAGCAATGTTCCAAGGGGCTCTCCACACAAAGAGATTTTGGCTGCTCAAAAAAAAAAAAGCCTCTGAGGGTGGAAGTATTCAGAAATCTCTCCACCTCTGACCTCTAAAGGAGCTATCAGATTAGGTTGGGGTGTTAAATATATGGCCTGCAGACCAGATGTTGCCCTCGTGATGTATTCCTATGACCAGCATGAAACAACTAATTTATGGACACTCTAAGCTTTCAATATTTATTTAAAAGTGGCAAGGCCTCACTGCTGCAGTGATAAGTGGTGACATGTCTGCCTGAGTCTGCAGACAGCCTGGAGCATTGACCGAGAGGTGTGAACTTCCCTGTCCCCTAGTCATCTCATTGGGAGTGACAACTCTAAAGGGCAATGCTGAAACTTTAGTGTCAACAGTGACAACTTCAGTATCCACTGCTGATCAGTGTAAGCCCTTGATGGCTGGGAACTGACAGTCACTGCAGGCAAGGAAATGCAAATGGAAGGACAAGGAAAAAAAAGACACAAAAAAGAGGAGAAGGGGAGAAAGTCAGATGGGAAAGAAAGGGGTCAAAGGGCAGAAATAAAAGTGGCTTACAGGACAGCAGATTTTCTCACTGAGTGATACTGAATGTGACAAAGCACTGAGTAAATAATAATGTTTACCTCCTACACAGAGGCTGTATTCTCCCCTTGATAAACCTCCTCTGAAATTAGTCAGAGGTCCACCATGGAACGAGGGAAATAGAATGTCCTGAAACTATAGCTTAGCTCATGGACCATAATTAAACATAGAATCCAGCTCCCTCCTCCAAAGGACTTTGACACCCTGTGCTAGATGTCAGGCTACTGGCCTCAGGTTGCATTGCCTGGTGGGTTCTTTGTTATGTCGGAAGGGTTTGTTACCTTGGGGGGCTCTGATCCCAAAGCCCACGAAAGTCAAGGGAAAGCCGTCCATTGACATCAGTGGGCTCTGAATCATGTCCTTAAAGGACTCACCGTGAGCCCCTTATAAATGGATGAATATATAAATAAAAGATCCCACAGAAAACTAAAGTGAACTGCAAGACACCAGCTCTGGGGCCATACCTAAGATCAATTGTGCTGGCAGGCTCTGAGCACCCAGACAGATAACACCCTGACCTGGTGATGCCAATAGGTTCTGGCAACTAACTCATTGATCATGACTATATTTCCAGCTCAGATAGCAGAGCCTGAAAAAGCAAAGGTGCAGTGGCACACTGACTCCCACTATCCAAAAGGCCCTTCATGCAATTAGCTGGAATGCCAGCAGAGGTGCTTAGATACTAGAGTGATGGGTGCCATGGAAAAAACCATATTGATAACAAGACATTCTTCTTGTCATAGAAACTGAATCTTCTCTCTTTCTCCGCCTCCTAAGGTATCAGTTGAAAAATGGCTGCCTGCTCTGTGCTCTAGGAAATTATTCTCCCAGATTTGATTACGGTGGCTTTAAGATGTGAGGGAGGGGATAGCGGTTTTATCATTCTTTCTTCAGGGAATGGATATAATGTAAATAAATAGCTCCAGACACTTCAGGGATGGATACCTTAGAGATACCTGTATTAATAAATCATCATAATCATTCTGTTTGTGCAAGGGGATCAGGGATGGATGAGGCTATAAAGGAAACCATCAAAGCTTCAGCTAGGAAGGAGCGTCGGACAAAGACACACGAATATGATCGTGTGTCTGCAAAACATATTCCAGCACAACTGGGAGCATATTGAGACAAATAGTGGGGCTGCGGGATGGCTGGAAATTAGCTAATGATGATGCATGGAGGATTAAACCCGAGAGAAGCTAGAGCCAATGAATACAAGAACACAGAGAGGGAAGGATGGCAGGAGCAACGAGGAAGATTAGCAAAGCCAAATGATGTGCAGCTGATGAGGACAGGAAATCATGATTAAAGATGATGGCAAGGCCATAAAAGAGGACAAATGCAATCCCTCTGCATGACTCTCTAGAACAAAACCTGATTTCCAATGAGGGCAGAGGAGAAACACATTGGAAGGGAGTTACATTTCCAAAGGCAAGTGGACAGAATGCGTAGTGGGAACAAGCTGCTCCTCTGCCTTCTAGGTGGGAATCAGACGACCTTCTGATTGGGAAACCTGAGACGCTGCAGCAGCAGGGGTGGCAAGCTGGGAACTATGGCTTAGGAAGCCTTGAGCAAATACTGCCCAAATTCTGTCACTACAATGGCTGCTCTGGTAACTGGCCAAGAAACCAAGGGCAGGACACAATTTACATACTAACATGTATGTGGGGAAGCATTTGTTAATGGTTGAAACACAGGGCCAGGGGTCAGGATTCTTGGGTTCTTGTTTTATCTGGGCAAGGATCTCTATGGGTATGTCTACACTACATGGCTCCGTCGACGGAGCCATGTAGTGTAGACATACCCATAGAGATCCTTGAAGCAGCGATTTAAATAATTGCTGCTTCATTTAAATTAAAATGGCTGCCGCACTGTGCTGATCAGCTGTTTGCCGGCACAGCATTGTAGACTGGACGCTCCGCGGTTGACATCAAAGGCATTTGTCGACCTCCCCGGTAAACCTCATCCCATTTCCTATGTCTACAAAGGTAATCTACATGGCTCTGTCGACGGAGCCGTATAATGTAGACATACCCTATGTGACTGAGGCTATGTCTAGACTACACTCTTTTATCTGAAAAAGCTACGCAATTTGCGTACCTTTTTCCTATTGGTTTTTTGGAAGAGGCTTTTCCAACATTTGGCCCTGTGTAGACAGGGCCAAATGGTGGAAAAACCTCCTCTTTCAGAGGAGCCCTTATTCCTCATGGGAGGAGGAATACAGGGCTCCTCAAAAGAGCGCATGTGCCCTTCTGCAAAAAAAAAAAAAAGGAAGAGCAGACACGTTCCCTGGATGCGGTGGGTTTTTTTTGCAGTGTAGACATACCCTGACTGGTCTAATCACTTAATTGCTGTGTGCTATAGTTTCCTACCTGGAGTGTTGGGGTGTATGTGATTGAGCACTATTTGTTTGGATGGAAGAGATTGGCTATCTGTTGTTATTAGTGTTTTCAGGACTACACTGTGTCTTTGGGATTTTAATAACACTCATTTCTCTTTATTTTAATGCTGGATTCATGCTAACATATCTTTAAAAATAGTGTAACTTCCTGGCTGCCAATGAACGAAATCACAGAATTTCCATACACTGATTTCCCTATTCAGATCTGGTTACCTGGTTGGGTTCAGCCTCCACTTCATCCCAGTTGTGTGTCAGGTGTCCTTGATCTATGGGTTCAAAGGGCTTGTGACAGACAGAGGGTAGAATTCTATACAGCCAGCTACAGAAAATGAAAACACCAGTGAAATCAAGCCCAGACTCTACAAATAACTGTTTCTGTGCTCTTGACAGCACCTATGAAATCTGCAATGAGATTAAGTGGATCTCTAGTGTGTTAATTGACCTATTATACTTCACAGTTATATAGATTCATAAGTACTTTATATGAACCAAAATCACACACAGACATATGAATATGGGTAACCAAATCTCTCACTGAAATGCAGCCATACCTGGGGGGCTAAACCCAGCAGCTGTTTAACAGCACACAGCAACAGTACACAACAATGTACAGCAGGCAAGGAAGAACATAACATCTCACTGAAAGTGCCTCTTCACTGCACAGTTAAGGAGGGTGACTGGCAGCAGGATTAGCCTAGCATGAGTGTGAAAAGCCACCCTAGAAAGTCTTACTTCTGTTACGTGTCCTCATGGCTTCTCCACCTGCTAGTATGTGTCTGGGGGCATAATCCTTCATTCTGTGCACAGAGATGCTTTGGGATTCTTTC